CACCTAAAGTATAAAGTAGGGTCCCTGTTATATTATGACAATTTATATAAGGGAAAAAACATTTTTTAATTTTAATATAGTAACACAAAATACATTACTTTTGTTATATTATTACCACTACTACTACTACTACATTGTAATAATAACTACTATTTTTTATAATAATAATAATACTTTTAACTATTTTAGTTTTATTATTTATATTATAGTAATAAAATAATACATTACAGGTTTGTTATATTATTACTACTACTACTACACTATAATAATAACCAGTATTTTTAATAATAATAATACTTTTAATTATTTTAGTTTTATTATTTATAATATATTAATAAAATAATACATTACAGTTTTGTTATATTATTAAAACTACTACTACTACATAATAATAATAATAATAATAACTACTACTAGTATTTTTAATAATAATAATCATAATAATAAATGAATCTGTAACAGAAATAAAGATATTCAAGGAATTTAGCTTACTTAATGTTTCAAAGAGGTAATGAATATTTTAATTGGCGACTAAAAGTGTGTGGAGAATAAACCAACGTTAGTCTGTTACTAATGCAGGACTAACAATTAACGCTGAAATGTCAGATGTAGCAAAACCGCAGAGATAGAGGCGCGGGCTGACAAAGTCACTGGATTCTCAAGGACACTGCGGCGAAAGAGAGAGAGAGTGTTTGTGTGTGTGTGTGTGTGTTTGATGGAGAGAGATGAGCGCGCAGGAATATGAGAGGCAGCCTGGGAATACACTCACGTGGATTGGCCGCTTCCTGAGCATGTGTGTCAGCGTGTGCGTGAGTGAGCGTGCGTGAGTGTGTGTGTGCGCGTGTGTCAGCGTGTGAGTGTGTGTCAGCGTGTGTGTGAGTGTCAGTGTGTGAGAGTGTGTGTGAGTATGTGTCAGTGTGTGAGCGTGGGTGAGTGTGTGTGTGTGAGCGTGTGTCAGCGTGTGTGAGTGTGTGTGTCAGCGTGTGAGTGTGTGTCAGCGTGTGTGTGAGTGTCAGTGTGTGAGAGTGTGTGTGAGTATGTGTCAGTGTGTGAGCGTGGGTGAGTGTGTGTGTGTGAGCGTGTGTCAGCGTGTGTGAGTGTGTGTGTCAGCGTGTGAGTGTGTGTCAGCGTGTGTGTGAGTGTCAGTGTGTGAGAGTGTGTGTGAGTATGTGTCAGTGTGTGAGCGTGGGTGAGTGTGTGTGTGTGAGCGTGTGTCAGCGTGTGTGAGTGTGTGTGTCAGCGTGTGAGTGTGTGTCAGCGTGTGTGTGAGTGTCAGTGTGTGAGAGTGTGTGTGAGCGTGTGTGAGTATGTGTCAGCGTGTGAGTGTGTGTCAGCGTGTTGTGAGCGTGTGTCAGCGCGTGTGAGAGTGTGTGTCAGCGCGTGTGAGAGTGTGTGTCAGCGTGTGTGAGCGTGTCTGTGTGTGTGAGTATTTGTCAGCGTGTGAGTGTGTGTCAGTGTGTGTGAGCGTGTGTCAGTGTGTGAGTGTGCGTGTGTGTCAGCGTGTGTGAGTGTGTGTCAGTGTGTGAGTGTGTGTGAGCGTGTGTCAGCGTGTGAGTGTGTGTCAGTGTGTGAGTGTGTGTGTCAGCGTGTGTGAGCGTGTGTGTCAGCGTGTGAGTCGGCGTGTGAGTGTGTGTGAGCGTGTGAGTGTGTGTGAGCGTGTCAGTGTGTGAGAGTGTGTGTGAGCGTGTGTGAGTATGTGTCAGTGTGTGTCAGCATGTGAGAGCGTGTGTCAGTGTGTGTCAGCGTGTGTGAGCGTGTGTGTGAGCGTGTGAGTGGGCGTGTGAGTGTGTGTGAGCGTGTGAGTGTGTGTGAGCGTGTCAGTGTGTGAGAGTGTGTGTGAGCGTGTGTGAGTATGTGTCAGTGTGTGTCAGCATGTGAGAGCGTGTGTCAGTGTGTGTCAGTGTGTGTGAGCGTGTGTGTCAGTGTGTGAGCCAGCGTGTGAGTGTGTGTGAGCATGTGTGAGTGTGTGTGAGCGTGTGAGCCAGCGTGTGAGTGTGTGTGAGTGTGTGAGAGCGTGTGTGAGCGTGTCAGTGTGTGTGAGCGCGTGTCAGCGTGTGCGAGCGTGTGTGAGCGTGTGTCAGCGTGTGTGAGTGTGTGTCAGTGTGTGAGTGTGTGTGAGCGTGGGGTGTGGGTGTGTGTGTGTGTGTGTGTGTGCGTGTGTGTGTGTGTGTGAGTGTGTGTGAGTGTGTGTCAGTGTGTGTGAGTGTGTGTCAGCGTGTGAGTGTGTGTGAGTGTGTGTGAGCGTGTGTGAGCGTGTCAGTGTGTGAGCGTGTCAGTGTGTGAGAGCGTGTGTCAGTGTGTGTGAGCGCGTGTCAGCGTGTGCGAGCGTGTGTGAGCGTGTGTCAGCGTGTGAGTGTGTGTCAGCGTGTGTGACAGCGTGTGAGTGTGTGTGAGCGTGTCAGTGTGTGTGAGCGTGTCAGTGTGTGTGAGCGTGTGTGAGTGTGTGTCAGTGTGTGAGTGTGTGTCAGTGTGTCAGCGTGTGAGTGTGTGTCAGCGTGTGTGACAGCGTGTGAGTGTGTGTGAGCGTGTCAGTGTGTGTGAGCGTGTGTGAGTGTGTGTGAGCGTGTGAGAGTGTGAGAGTGTGTGTGAGCGTGTGTGAGCGTGTCAGGGTGTGAGCGTGTCAGTGTGTGTGAGCGTGTGTGAGTATGTGTCAGTGTGTGTCAGCATGTGAGAGCGTGTGTCAGTGTGTGTGAGCGCGTGTCAGCGTGTGCGAGCGTGTATGAGTGTGTGTGAGCGTGTGTCAGCGTGTGTGAGTGTGTGTCAGTGTGTGAGTGTGTGTGAGCGTGTGTCAGCGTGTGTGAGTGTGTGTCAGCGTGTGAGTGTGTGTCAGCCTGTGTGACAGCGTGTGAGTGTGTGTCAGCGTGTGAGAGCATGTGTGAGTGTGTGTGAGCGTGTGTGAGTGTGTCAGCGTGTGAGTGTGTCAGCATGTGTGAGCGAGTGTGAGTCAGTGTGTTGCTCTGAGAGCGGGGCTTGGCATCTGCTCCACCAAGCATCCTGGGGGAAGTAGAGTGATGATGGCAGGCTTTGGGCGAGTGAATCGCGTTAATTTATCTCTATGGCTCACAAATCGAGGGTTACAAGACAGAAGAGTAAAGCAGATTCAAGCGAACACAAGTTGTTAGTCTTCGCAACTTACTCACGCTTGCAGTTGAAACCAGCGGAGACTGATTAGCCACCATTTGAGCAGGAAGTCGGAGCGCGTTGGTCTGTAGAACAGCGACACACTCCATTACCTGAGCAGAGTCCGCTCTCAACATCCACTCCAGCGCACAGAGCCAGAGCGAGCCAGAACCAACAGACTCAACACAATGTTGATTGGTAAATTTCTGCCCAGGCCAAGACAAGATCAATGCTACCCACAAGCATTACTTGCTTATTTTTTGCTCAAGGCCCTTCCCTTCACAATCACAACTTAGTAGGTGTGATAAATAGGCCTTTCCTGTGTCAGTGGATGCTTGAGAATGAGCCATCCCTGTGCAGACATAAAGCTGTGTGATTACTTCACCAGTAGTCTGTATAGGATTCAGTTGTAGATCATGAGCAATGCTGAGACTCACACCTGTAACCCATCAGAACAGAACAATCTGAGAACTTCCGGAAAACTGTTCTGGGGTAACACAATCTGGTAGGGCTGCAAGATTGTGATTATACAACAATATGGCTACATTTTAAAAAATAACTACAATAAGCAAAAATAAGAAAATACAATATTAAATGATGATGATGATTATAAAAAAAGAAAAATTACTACAAACAAAATAAATATTACTATTTTAATATTTCACTGCAAAATAAAATTGCACATTTAAGGAAAAAATTAGAACAACAAACAACTATTATTATTATTATTGCTAAATACAAATTACTACAAACAAAATAAATATTACTATTTTAGTATTTCACTGCACAATAAAATTGTGCACTTAAGAAAAACCAACAACTATTATTATTACTATTATTACAAAAAAACACTACTAGTGTAATATTTCACTGTAAAATATATAATTTTATATAATATAATATAAATAATAATGATAAAAATTAATAATAGTTAATAACAATAGTACTATTGTAATATTTCACTGTAAAATTATATAATTTTGATATAATAAAACAAATAATAATGATAAAAAATATTAATAGATTAATTTCACATTTCAACTGTAAAATTAGAATAAGAATATTTATGGCTGTCTTAGCTTCTTTATTTTCAAACGTCAAACAACTGAACTTTTTTTGAAAAACATATTGCAGGGAGCCCTTAAAGCTTCTCGCTTTTTTTTGTAGATAAGCACTACTCATCAGAAGTTTGGGAGGGCATATGTTACGTTTCCAAACGCACATTAAAGCGACCCAAACTCATCATGATCATGAGCTGCTCATGTGTAAGAAAGCAGCGCCACACTTCACTCTGAAAGACACTGCAAGTTCCAAACCATGTGTGACTTTTTCTTCTGTCTTGATCTGTATATTAAACGTCAATGAGATCCAAAAAATAGCATTGGTCTCCATTTACTTTCATTGTATGTTTCTATGCCTTTAAGCAAAGCGAAGGCTCAAACAGGCTCTCAGGAGTGAACAGTTCACGTTTAACTAAACATCTCCAAAGAGATACATGGAAACAAGCATGTAAACCTACAATCCTCCTCAATGTTCAATTGCATCCCAACGGCCACATGGATTGTAAATGGTGTAAAACATGGCATTTCCCAATAACAATTATGTTTCATCAACAAACACCAGCGGCTGTGAGGGCAAATACATTCTGACAAACTAAGACTCAACACTTGAACCGCGTCCAGATCACCCTGTACTAATTATTCCCAAAAGAAGCAGTGGGGGAAGAGTTTCTGTGCTCCACACCCATAAAGCATGTCCTCAAAATAAACCTGAGCGAACAGATGCGAGAATGGTGCGGTGGTCCGGAGGACTGCTGATTTATGAGCCTGACCCACTCAGGACGGCCTTGTTTGAGAGGTCTAGAGAGAGGGGTCACGTACCGTCAGCGCTCACGTCCTGCTCCTGTCCAGACCTTCTCACGGAGCAAAGACGCTGTCGTATCTGGACCTGCAGAAAGAGAAGAGCATTTATTCAACCCTCACTGAAGAAGAATAACACAAACACAGACAAGAAACAAAAGTGCTGCATTCGTGAAAATCTTTGCAATACATTGTCACAAATACATTTTGAAGGCTATCTCCACATTATAAGTCACAGATAATAAACAGGTATTTCTGTTAGAAGTCATTTAAAATGTTCAGTCATAACTGGTAAAAAGTTGTTTTTACAGATAAAATAAAAGACATATATATATATATATATATATATATATATATATATATACATATATACAGTGTGGGG